AGACCAACAGGAAAAATCAAAAACAATAACAGCAGTCAGATTGACTACTACAAGAACAAACAAGCTGTTCACCCAGAAGCCATCAAGGCAAGCGGTCAGGTCCCCTCAGAACAAAACCCCTTCCAAGACTAAGACTAAAGGGGAATACACAAGCAGGCATGTGGTCTGACTGATGACCACGTTGGTCACTGATAAGGGAATGAGGGGTAAAAACAGGAATGAATTTGGGAGCTAAGTCCAACCACATTCAGTAGACTCCTTGGAACCCATGTGGAGACCTGGTTGGTCAGGGATATGGCAAGACCTGGGGACTCCTGGGCCCAGAGGCAGTGGCATGGCCATAGAAGACTAGATCAGAGAGCAAAGTGTCCAGCTGATATGAAGTGAGGCAAGATGCACAAGAACACCTACTCTTGCAGGTAGTACACACTTGACTGGGTTTCAATGGCTGGATGATCAGAACTCAACTAGAAGAAGAAAGAAAAGGGAACAAAAAAAAAAAATAACCTGCTACAATTTGATGAATTTTACCTGTACTTATGGATGTAGTAGCTCAAAAAAGGGAACAAATCTTTACAGTGAGGATCACTCCCACCCCCTTGGTACACATGGTTGACAGGGATGGGCAACTTAGACACCGGCTACCCAAAAGGGGTGTGTGTTACAAAGGCAAGAAGTGACTGGCTTACAAGCTTTCAAGAGGAAGCCTAGATGGGGCTGGGGAAGGTAGAATCTCCACTGAATGATTTCCAACCTGTTGGGATGGGGCTTATGCAAGGAGATGGGGATAAGACTCATGCAGCACAATAGTGAATAATTGCTATCAAGACTGACTGTGAGGGTCAGAAATGTAAAGGTAGATGTTTTGTAACAAAGGGAGGGGAGTTACTGATTTTGCAGTCCAGGAGAGGAGGTCCCTGGGACCACCAAGTGAGAAGGGCAGAGTGCAGGACCCTACCCAGAGAAGCAGTGACCCCAGAAATGGAGGCAGAGACAATGATGTGGACAGATGGAGTGGCTGGGGACACTGGACTCAGGGAGGGAGGGGGCTGTGTGCTGATGGCCAGGGGGCAGGCCTGTGGGGTATACCCTTTGGTGGTTTGATGATGCATGGAGGGGATTGTAATCATTGAAATGAAATGAAATACAATAGGATGAATGTAAAACTGATGTTCTCTCATGTAAACTCACATAATTCACAGTAAAAACCAAAAAAAAAAAGACAATGGAAGGAATACACAGAATCACTGTACCAAAAATAATTGGCTGACATTCAACTTTTGACTGTACTAAAGGAAGACGTCCAAGCTGCACTGAAATCACTGATGAAAAATAAAGCTTCAGGAATGGATGGGATACCAACTGAAATGTTTCAACAAATGATTATAACACTGGAGGTGCTTGCTCATCTATGACAAGAAATTTGGAAGACAGTTACTTGGGGAACTGATTGAAAAGGATTCATATTTGTGCCCATCCCAAAGGAAAGTGATCCAACAGAATTAAGAAATCATTGAGAAATAGCAATATTATATTCAAGTAAAATTTTGCTGAAGATAATTCAGAAATAATTGCAGCAGTATATAGATAGGGAGCTGTCAGAAAATCAACATGTTTTATCTGACTATGCAAAGGCATTTGACTGTGTGAATCATAACACACTATGGCTAGCATTACAAAGAATGGGAATTCTAAAACACTTAATTGTGCTTATGTTGAACCAGAACAAGGGGACACTTGTTGTTTGTTGTTAGGTGCCATCGAGTCGGTACCAACTCATAATGACCCTATGTACAATAGAACGAAACACTGCCCGGTCCTGGACCAACCTTACAATTGCTCCCACACTTGAGCCCATTGATGCTGCCACTTTGCTCATCCATCTCACTTGGGGAAAATCAGGAAAGGTGTGCGGCAGGGTTGTATCCTTTCAACTTACTTATTCAATCTGTATACTGAGCACATAATCTGAGAAACAGGACTATATAAACAAGAATGCATCATTAGGATTGGAGGAAGGCCCATTAACACCCTGTCATATAAAGATAATACAGCTTGCTTGCTGAAAGTCTAAAGAACTTGAGGTACTTATTGATCACAATCTAAGACTTCAGTATGGATTTCACCTCAACAAAAAGAAAGCAAAAATTCTCACAACTGGACCAGTATGCAACATCATGATAAATGGAGAAAAGATTGAAGTTATCAAGGGTTTTATTTTACTTGGTTCCACAACCAACATCCATAGAAGCAGTATTCAAGAAATAAATAATATTTGCCATTGGGCAAGTCTGCTGCAAAAGATGTCTTTAAGTGTTAAAAAACAAAGATGTCACTTTGAGGACTAAGATGTGCCTGGCCCAAGCCATAATGTTTTCAGTCACCTCATATGCAAGGGAAAGCTAGGCAATGAATAAGGAAGACGAATAAAAGAATCGATGCATTTGAATTGTTATGGTGTTATGGAAGACTATTAAATATGCTGTGGACTGCCAGAAGAACAAATAAGTCTGTGTTGGAAGAAATACAAGCAGAATGTTCCTTAGAAGGGAGAATAGTGTAACTATGTTTCAAGTACTTTGGATATTTTATCAAGAGCAACCAGTCCCTGGAGAAGGACATCATGCTTTGCAAAGTAGAGGGTGAGAGAGAAAAAGGAAGACTCTCAACCAGATGGATTGACACAGTGACTGCAACAATGGGCTCAAACAGCAATGATTGTGAGGCTGGCATAGGACTAGGCAGTGCTTCAATCTGTTGTGCATAGGATTGCTATGAGTTGGAACTGATTCAACAATACACAACAACAACAACATAACCTATGAACAAGTAATAAAACTGGTATTTCATGACAGACAATTTCATATAGTGTTTGTGTTGTTGTTGTTAGGTGCCATCGAGTCGGTACTGACTCATAGCGACCTTATGCACAACAGGACGAAACACTGCCCGATCCTGGGCCAACCTCACAATTGTTGCCACGCTTGAGTCCATTGATGCTGCCATTTTGCCAGTCCATCTCACTGGGGGTCTTCCTCTTTTTCTCTAAGCCTCCACCTTATCAAACATGTTATCCTTCTCCAGAAACTGGTCCCTATTTAAGGTACATTGTAGTGTTTATAAGGAGCTCTGGTAGCGTAGGGGTTATGAGTTGGGCTACTAACCTCAAGGTCAGCAGTTCGATATTACCAGTGGTTCCATGGGAGAAAGATGAGACTTTCTGCTCCCGTAAATATTTACAGCCTCGGAAACCCTATACAGGGTTGCTATGGGTCAGAACTGACTCGATAGCACTTAACAACAACAACACAGTGTTTATAATGCACCTTAAATAGGTTGGGAAGAAGTGGTTAGTGAAATAAATGAAGCAAACCTGTTATTGCAGGGCTTCTCAGGGATTTGAGTGCATGATGGAAGTTGATCACCTCCAACAGGTGACTCAGATGCTGTGTCCCCCAAATTTTACCATGCAGCCCTGTTCTCTCCATTCAGCTATGCCTGAGCCAGATTGGAATTGGGTTTGGGCGCTGTCAGAGGAGGGTAATTCTAAAATAGCCATTTTAATAAATCTCATCTAGCAATCCTGGTGGTGCAGTAGTTAAAGCACTCCATTGCTAATTGATAGGTAGGTGGTCCAAACCCACTAGCCAGCTGTGGGAGAAAGATGTGGTAGCACCTATAGCCTTAGAAACCCTATGGGACAGTTTTACATAAAACACTAGTTGTACACACTGTCAACATGATTTGTGAGTCCTATCCAGTCAGATTTGACTCCATGGCCATGGATTTGTTTAGGGGGAGCAGGAGGGGATTGTGCATCTAACAGAAGGGAAGATGCAGCAGTCCCTCGTTTAAACCAGGAGAGGGGGGTGTTCAGCTACGTTTGCAGGTGGCACAATGACATTTTTGTTGTTGTTATTGTGCCTTGCTCCATCAGGGGGCAGAGTTACCTTGTCTGATGTGGGTGCTCTGAGAAATGTTTTTGTCCCATAGGAAACCCCAAGACACAGCTAGTGAGGGACTGGCCACCTCTAGCAGCACTGGCTCACAGGGGGGTCCACACTTTATTCCAGTCCTTGCATTCTTACCTTACTTTCAGGGGGCACAGCATTTAGTTGTCAAGTCTCCTCAGACAAGGGGCTATGGCAGTTTCTTAGACTTTTTCTGTTTTGATGGCATTGGCAGTTTTGAGAACTGTATATTGTGGACTATGTCCCTCTACTGGGGTCTGTCTGATGTTTTTCTCATGACTACAATGGCATGGTAACAATTGTACGGTTGGTGTAGAATGGGGCAGTGCTTCATTCTGTTGTACATAGAGTAGTCACTAAAAATCTGTACCGACTTGACAGTACCTAACGTGGTGGTTATGAATCGGGCTGTGAACTGCAAGGTCAGCAGTTCGAATCTACCAGCTGCTCTGTGGGAGAAAGATGAGGCTTTCTGCTCCTGTAAAGATTTACAGCCTCGGAAACCCTGTTCAGGGTCGCTATGGGTCAGAACCGACTCAACGGCACTTAACAACAACAGAATGGGGTTATGGGGTTAGGGGAGGAAATTCTCATCTCATCACATTCAGGGTGCACACTATCAAAATGACTTATCAGTGTTGATGTTGACCGTGATCACATGGCTACGGCTTCTTGACAGTAAAGTGACCCCCCCCCTTTCCACTCCGTCTCCTCCAATGCCTTTTCCCCATTCCATTCCCTTAGGCACTGAACCCCCTTTGCTCCCTTCTCCCCACTTCTCCACCTTCACTCTGAATGTCTCCCTCACTGAGCTCCCCAGCCTCTGTTTCCACCTCAACATTAAATACCCGCTTTTCCTTATCCCACCTGTAACCCCCTCTGCCACCCGTACACCCCTTTCCCCCTCTCAACACAATGGATTCCCTTACTGAGCTTTCAAATCCCCCACTACACTAAGCCCAATCCTCTCTCCCCAACCTCAGCCCTGAGTGCTCTCAGAACCCCTCACCCCATCTCTCCACAGTCACAATGAGGGCCTTTCCCGACCTCTCCTCTTCCACCTCCACCAGTACTCCTACCCTGAGCTCCCTCTCACCCTGCCCTGAGTGCTCAGCACTGAGTCACCG